ATAGTTTGCCACAAAATAGTTAGTCAATTTTGTTTTATATCAAGGAAGTACTATTGGTCGATGGTTATGTAAGAAGGTGGTTTGACTGAGATCAAGCTTACCCACCAGGTTTTCCCCTTAATCAATTATTTACTTTATAGAAGCTGGGTGTGTCCCATGAGGGTCTCCCAACTTCAGGGTCGATCCACCGCCGACGAAACAGAATAAATAATTTATCTACAATCAGCTGGATTTGGACAGGAAGTTGAGCGTTGTAAGTCAGTTCCCAGCACAGAGCTATCCCACTCCTAAGGTAGTTAATACCCATAAAAAAAATAATAAAAAATCAATAATGAATATATTTATTAAAAAATGAACAAGTACACAAATATAATATAAGGTTTCTTTCTTATTTTCTAATACATTAATTTTTATGTTTATATGACTTCAAACTCAATAAATAAATATATATTTTTTGAAATATAAGTATAATATAGTTTTAACGAGAAAAGTCACTTAATATTTTCTACACTAAACATAGCTTTAACACGTAACATAATTTCTAACATTAATTGTTAAATACACATAAATACCCCTACAGCTATATTTTAATTTAGCAAGGGATTATCATAATATATATAATCTTATCATTTCATACATTTAATGTTTATACTAGGATAATATAGCAAGTTGTTATTGTGCCATATTTGAGCAGGCTACCAATTTGAAATTCATCAGTCAAACATAAATTCGCTTTCTGTTTAAATGGACGATAAATGGTTAATAAAAGCCAATTGTTATATTCTTTCATTATAATCTTAGCATTTTATTAATTGTTTATTTCATAAAAATATAAAATAAATAAATAATCAGCAGATATGCCAATTCTGTAAGCCCAGAATAATAGACACGTAGAAAATGTGTAATTTATTATCATAAAATACACTATTATTATTTTTAGAATGACACTATTATTACCAATCTAATTGTAATAAATAAAAAATAATTAATTAATTAATGTATTAGTTTTTTATTATGAGCTATCTTAATTAATAAAAACTTATAGTGACTAATATCAACCCAAAATTAATATATATTTTGGTGAAAAAATACTAAAATTCATCATTATTAAAAAGCCAATGTATTCTGAAAAATTTTCCTATGAGTCATAAGAAAATTAAAACTGACATAAATTAAAATGAATCACTTAATTTATCACCTTTTTTAGTAAGGTAACTTCATTTCAATGGTACATGCTAAGGATTACCCTGTGTGTTCAATTAAATGTAATAATAAAGAAATAAACATATATATATATATATATATATATATATAACTATAAAATGAAATGAAATGTAACAGACACCATAAACAAAATCACATGTCTTACAAATTTATGAGGCAAAAAACGACGATAGCAAAATATCTCATAAGTTTGCAACACACTTAAATTTTTATATTAAACAAGCACCTACTTTCAACCTTGAATTATAGAATTGAAATGTTCTAATTGTTATTTATTCATTGCTCACAATAGTATTTTAATTACCCTTCAAATTCATAAACTCATAGGTGGGGGAGGGGTGAAAGTTCCCAGATCTCCTAATATTTTTTAATTGTAAATTAAATATAAATTTCCCACTATTATGGAAACAAGTTTTGTAAAAAAATGAAAGTAATAGTGACAAAAACAAACAGAATAATATTATTTAACTTTTCAACTGTTCATTTTTTGTTTTTTTCAAATATTGAAGATAACTATTAACATTTACAAAAAATATGATTATTGGTAAAAAAAGAAATGATTGACAAAAAATGCAAATATCATCTTAAATTTTTGTATACCTAAGTACAAATGTACTTATAAATATCTATTTTAAAACATGTTCTTTGTTTTATTAATTTTCAGATTATAATTTTATTTTTTGAGCTATACCATCAAATATTCCTATTGTTTAAAAAAACTGTAAATATAATTCTTCTTCTTGAATAGTTATAATTATTTTATAATAACATAAAGTAATACTTAAAATTAATGAGTGATTGGCTCAACTGACTTGTAAGAGGAATTTTCAGCTATCTGCCATTTCTTAATTATATCCATAGTATAACTTGTTTAAGGTGGAGAGACACATATTCATAAAATTTTTGAGACTGAAAAACAAGCTTCACCACTTAAAATAAATTATTTTCAAAGTTTGGTCTATCCCACCATCTTCAAGAAAAGTTGGTCATTTTTATGTGAAGCTGTCCCTAAGCCATTTCAAATGATAGTTCCACATAAAAAATAACAAATTTTTCTGAAGAATAAATTAACTATTTTAAGTGGTTAAAGTTTGTTTTTTAGTCTCAAGAATTGTATGATATATTTATTATAATTAATTAATAGATTATAGTGTATATATACATACACACATATATTTATATTTATATAATAAAATGTTTAAATTATAAGAAAGAACATTATAAATTGGCTACATGTAATATTCTTTCAGGAATGATGTTGAGCAGGAATACTTAAATATTTAACAAATATTATAATATAACATAATTAAAAGGATATAAGCAATTCATAGAATAACTATTAATTTAGCTTAAAAACATTTTTCACAGCCTTTGTAAAATCATTCTTACAAATACAAGAAGATATTTAACTACAATTAAAACAGCTAATGGCCAGTATGGTAAGTAACTATAAAATTAATAACAATGAAATAAAATAATATAATATTTAAAAAAAACAACACACAAAAAAAATCATATAAACACCTCAATATCAAGCATGCAATGCAATTGAAAACCCCAGCTCACATATTCACTACATAAAGCTGATACTTCTTTGTCAAATTAAATTGTATATCAAACAATATCCTTGCAGGTCTAAAATTTATCATCAAAATATCTTTATACTTAACATAATAATGTTGATGAATTGTGAACTAAGTGTATATTATTTATAAAAAATCAAACTTTTAAATTAAATTAAATATTACTTTTCTTTTTATATTACTAAAAAATATTTTTTTAGAAGTAAAATAAAACTTTTGGAGATGACAGATATAAACATTAAAGAAAAGAAAATTTATAATTAAAATGATAATTTGAAACATATTAAAACAGTACAGAATTTATTTGGAAAAGGAAAAATTGTATAAATGTTCTAATTGCTTTAATTATAAGGTTTCAACTGAGTTAAAAAAATGCTTTTTGTAGTTTTAAGTAAATAAATAAGATAAAGTAAAAATTTAATGTTTTATTAAACAAATATTTATAACACACTAATATAAAACAATAATTACAAATTCATAAATAAAAAAAATTTAGCTTAAAAATTAAAGCATTTTGGCCATTAATATTTTACAAAATAAAACTTCGAATATGTATAACATAAAACTGCTCACATATTTAAAACTTTGTGTTTTATGAACAGTAATATAAACACATCCATATATCCTATTTCTGCTACAACATATTAAATTTCTTTACCATATTATTTATATATTGTACCTTAAAACAATAAAAATTTATAAAAACCTAAATAGTATAATGATTTTCATGGTGTACTATATAGACACATACAGGTGAAAATTTATTATGATAGGCATTAACACATGATATCAATATCTTTGTTAAAAAAATTGTATCACCTTTATAGATAAAAGCAATTGTTATAAAAATTACTCATACTCATATTTTTTTTTTTAACTTTATTCTATTCTCCATTTTTCAGATAAAAATCTGAATATATGTAAAAAGAAACCATTGGTTAAAGACAAAAGGTAACCAATTTATTTTTTAAATATGGTATACTCATTACAATCACAAATTTTAATTAAAATAATACTGTTCAAAGTGTAACTAATTAAGTTGTACTAAATCATTTGTTAACTTTAATAACATTATTTTATTACTGATTATAGTATCATCAATAATTATTTAATTATTAATAGTTACTGTGTTGGGTTGTTTAACTTTAGATTCACAGTATAATTTTTAAACTCCAAAAACAGATTTTTTTTATTTTTATCAATTCTCGCCATAGAGGAGGGCAAACATCAAATTTCTTAGATTGTAAGAAGCAGTACATCCTATACAATTCTAGCAAGACCATATCAAGTAAGTAAGTTTACTAAAAGACTAAAATATATTACTGGAAGTTGTTTTTACATGTATGTATATATATATAAATGTGTATGTGTGTGTAAATATATACATATATACACACATACATAAGAACAACACAAACCGAATTATTTATTATTATAAATTGTAGGTATTATATAATTTATGGTACATATGAAGAATTATGATACAGTTGCTTTCTTAAATTTATAATTAATTAAGAAATAAGTTCAGTATCATGAAGTGTTTTTAAAACAATAGATATATACACATTGAATAGGTTTGTGTTTTACGAACAAGAGTAAGGGATGGCAGGTTTCAACTAACACATTAAACACTTAACATTAAACATTTATATTTTACAATAGATATTTTTTCTTTCTTTACTTTGATTACAACTTTCTATAATATAATAAATGTTTAAAACTTTTAAAACATATTAAAATGTAATAACTAATGGTTTATATTATTTTTACATTAGGTAACTGCAAGGAAAAAGTGAAAACATAATCTACCTTCTTAATTTAAGGTAATATGCTAAACTCTACAAACAAATATATTAAAATAATCATATAAGATACACATATAATGAATTAAATATGCTGAATGGTGCTGTACAATAAAAAACATTGAAATATCATAGTAGGAGTTAGTTAATAATATTTATTACATTGGATATAGATAATTTTTAATAACAGTACCAATTAAAGCAGCAATATTAAACTAAAAAAATGCTCTAAAGAATACAAATCATGAATCACTAGTATGTATAATAAACAAAGAACTCAATGAAGTTCATGCATTACCAATAACTTCTATAAAATAATCAATAAAACTAAATTAACAATAATAGCATTGAACAAAAATAGTTTCAATAAAGCATATAACAGAATAATTAAAAATTTCATTTTTTTTTTTTAAATTACAACATTTCTGTGATTGTCCATGGTTTTTCTTCTGTCTGTCAAAATCTTGTAGCAGTTATAGTTCCACCACGTCCAGGAATACAGACTCTATCCAACGTATCACAGATATTGACCTGCATAACATATATGTAAATAATTATATTTAGTTTAGTTGTAAGTGTTCTACTTTTATTATATATGGATTGGATTAATTTTTTCTCTTAATTATACAAGATAACTTTATTTTAAAATATGTTTTAAGTCTCAAATGAAACTTTAGGATGCATAGCTTTCTTTATAAACTGATCTTGTAAAAATATATGCATAGCAAACCTATTATGGTATTAAACATTATCGAATAGTGGTTGAGGAAAATCAATATTTTGTCAGATATTCAATGATAGTTTTAATTTTCATGCTGGTTTCTTAAGTTCCGATAACTGATTTGGTGTGAGATTATAATAAGACTTAAAAATGATAGATTAAAAATGGTATATATACACCTTTATTGGAAGTTGATAAAAATAATTTAGTAAATTAATGTTGAACAGTTAAAAGGTAAGCTAATCAAGTTCTGCTAATGTCTGGAATGTTTAAATTTGAAACATAGTTTCACTAATGCAAGAAAAAGAAAATGGTTGCTCTGGAGAGAAAATTGGCTGCTAGGGGAGGAACAAAGGATTTTTGTTTTTGCTGTCTGTTGTTTGGCTGGGTCACTAGTTGGTTGGAATTATAAGAGAGAGGATATCTGAGAGAGCTTGAGTTAAGTTGATGAAAGTGTTACCATTTTGGAAGTTGTGTTTGGCAGAACACAGGAAAATGTTTAATACAAATGAATTCATTTTCACACATCTTCCAGATATATTGACTTTTATTTATTTATGAAAGCACTAGGAACGGTAAATTTTGAAGCTGTTATGGAGACTGGAAGGGGAGTCATAGTTAATAGTAGGGTGATGCGTACTGGTGCCAAACCCAATTTTGTTCAACCTCTCTCAGCTCCTAACTTATTTTATTTATTTCTAACAGCTAATAAAATATATTTTAAACTGCATATTTTTACTCAGAGAGGACAGGGTAAAAATAAAAAATGGAAAAAGATTTTTTGGATGGAAGTTTTAAAGTGGGAAACACTAGTATTAGCTAATAAGTATAAGATACCCAATAATATGAGCTAGGTACTGGCAGCCCCTGACATAGCCGTGTCTTCACTCTTGTGATGTAGTTCCATCCCCACCACTTTTTTTAACACTTATTATCTTTGCAAATATACATCAGAAATATTTAGGACTTTTTGTATTTTTATTGTAATAACCTAATCTTCACAGACAAATTCAAATTGAAAATTCATACAAGTATCCAATTGGTTCAGTCTTAGTTTAAAACAATTGATCTTTAAAGTTTAAGATAGTTTATAACAACACTTTATTTTTATGTAATTAAAAATTATTAAATCATTATATGATTATATGTTAATTTGAAGTCACATAAAAATACAAAATAAACCACATTTTTCATGAAATAATTAAAAGATATTCAACATTTAAATAAAATGTTTTTACATATAAGGTTATACATAAAGTTTTTACTATATAAAGAGGTAGGAGAATAATTGTTTAGTATATTTTATGACTTTAGGCAGTTAATTACCAATATTAAATCATAATTGCTATTATTAAGCATTTTCATGTTTTTAAAATCTATTTTATCATTTAAAATAAAATCATATAATCATGCAATTAAAAAAAAAAAAATAAAACACTCTAATGTTTTTAATTTACTTAAACTTTGTATTGATTTGAAATACTTGATATATTTGATGAATCATGCCAATATATATTCAACGATTGTTTTAGAAAAATATATTTTAAGGAATACATTATGTTAAAAACCATCCAAGAGCAACAAATATGATTTATTATTCCTTTACTAAATAATAAGTCTAAAGTAAAGTATAAACTAATTAACAAAGCACCAACTTTTACGATATTTACTATGATGACAAATCAAATTAAAACATTATATATAAATCAGAAATGATCAGGCATAGTAGCAATATTTTAAAGGTTAATTCTACCCCCAATTTGCACTAAAAAATCTTGTGATTGTAAACAAAAATGAAGACAATATCCATTTCAAGTGATATGCTTTTTAACTATTTTATTTTTAAGTACATTATTTCTATGACTTAAAAACTTTATTTTTTATTGCATTTTTTGAAAAATTAATCTAGTTTAAAAATTAAACATTAGTTCACTTTTTATAAAAAAAAAGTATAGTCATTGTCCAATTGAAAAAATCTTAATATTATATACTTAAAATGAAGTAGTTTATTGGCACTAATAAATTACTACATATGTTTTCATATTATATGAACCACTTTGAGAATTTTTTTTTTTTTGCTTGAAGGAATTGTTTTAAATTTGAAAAAAATATAATTAATAAAATTTTAGAATATCAATCAAATGAAAAATAATCTCCATATGTTCAATTTACTGATATTTTCAATGAGATTACCAGATTTAAGAAATGGTTTCAGTGTTATAATAGATTTCATGAGTGAAAACAAAATAAATTGGAGTAGGAAATATCAATAAACTTAATAAGAATTGGGCCATTGTTTAAATGAACAGATATTTAGATTGCCATATTTAAAAACAATCAACGCCAAACAAACAACTCTAAAACCACAAATTATCGATAAAAATGAAAAAAACTAAATTTGCAGAATATTGCTCAAGTAATCTCAAATACCTCCATTATTTAGTACAATATCATCAGTAGTTCAAAATTTATGGAAACATTTTAGATCATTGTCTCATGACTCATGCGGCTGCAGATTGCATTGGGGTCATTACCACTTTGATTATAATTTCAAAAACACGCAGTCTTGTTTCTCAATGGACAAAGATAGTTCACTCAGCTTTCATATATGGCTCAGAAACCTGGAGAACAATTAAAAATAACGAAAGAGACCTCTAAATGTTTAAAAGAAAAATCCTCAGGCATATTTATGGGCCTATTTGTTCATTAGAAGTTTTGAGGCGAAGAAGTAATTAGGTATTTGAAGAGCCTGATGTGATTTACGACATAAAACTGCGAAGATTGAAATAGGATAGTCATATGGTAAGAATGATGACAAGATCCCAAAGAAGCTAATGACAGAATCCAAATATGGAAGATTTAGAGCAGGAAGGCATACACTACAATGATGGTAATGTGTGGCTTATGACCAAAGGATTATTGGAATAGGAAGCTTGATGGATGCCACACTATACAGGGAGTCTTGGCACCAGTTGTTGGAGAAGCCATGGTTAGTTAGTGCGATGTAGCTACATAACAACTGTTCTCTGAAAAAAAATATATTAGCCTACCATCTGATTATTAAATAAATTGTACAGGATGTTTGTGGATCATTTTTCATTGATTTAGAAATTGTATTCCCTCAATTCCGTTATAAATTTAAAAATCAAATCAAAACTTTGTGTCATTATAGAACCTTGATCTCCTTGCCTCATGTTAAGAATTAGTAGATAAAAGTGTAGAATCCACAATGAAATTATAATATTTTAAACTAGAGCTATATTTATATTCCATCCTATTAATTATCTATCTATCTTTTAGATTTTCATGTAATTTGTTGGATTGTTTTAAATGATCCATTTAGATAACCTTATTAGTTTTAAAATATGCTTCAAACTAGTCCTATCAATGATTTTCACATTATAAATTTACATACTTTAATAAAACTGGTTCAAGGAAATTAATTTAATATTATTGACAAAAATCAGAAATTAAAATGCTAGAAATAAAGTTCTATCATTTTGATATTGATAAAAAGCTCATGCAAACTTATTAAATATATTGCAGCCCTAATGTAAACAAAAATATCTTAAAATCAGTAAAGATTAATATTGCTAATTTTTAATTTTCATGTAATTTTCATATTTCAATCATCATGCAAATTATGCTCATGCCTCATGGTTTTGAAAAGAAAATTTACCCTACAATCAGAAAATCTTTGCAAATATATAGGAAGAATGAAATATTTTAACCTTTAGGAAGTAAGAAGTTTTTAATGATGGCAAAATTCATAAAGCATTGATGAATTTATTCTTTGGCTCTTACTTTTTCATACAAGCATTGTCAGATCCAAGGGGGAGATTTTGGGATGAAGCCCCCAAAAATACAAAAATAGTTGGTTTTTATTGTTCCATATTTATTTCTGTGTTATGTAAGCTAAACACTTAAACAACACAATATGTTCTCTTTTTAAGATATAAAGCATATATAGCTACTAAATGTAAGCATGTATCAAGATAAAAATTGATCCCTAAAAAAGATATTGTTCCTGTAGTTACCGTTTTTGTTTTTATTTTGAAGAGGCCTTCATGCACACTTAAACATCATTTCTAATAGTTTATTTACTTTTCTTCCAGAGTAACCACTAATAAAAAAAAAAAAAAAAAAAAAAAAAAAAATATATAAAATTGAAAAAAAGAAAAGAAAATCTCTTCCACTTAGCTACAGATACTCCATTTTTGAAATCACGTTTCAAGGTTATTTTTTCAATGCTTTTTTCCTAAATGAAATTATTGATATTTACTATAACTATACACCATCATAATTTAGTATGAGCATCTTATACTTTATATAATCCACTATTCTAATATTTATATCAACAATTTCAAAATGTATAATTTTACTGAATTATACTGGCATTGACTGAATAACAACTGAAATTCATATGAAAAAAACAAAAGGACCACAATATTAACAAATTTTTTTTTACTATAATATTCAAAGATAACTTGTAGTATTTTAGAATAAACCAGTATTTGAAATTGATAATTATTTTGTCCACTAAATTATGTAATAATTATTATACTTGATTTTTAATTTAAAAATCATGACTGATTTATAAATAAAAATTTAAATCGATCTTTGATGTTTATTGATTCGATTAAAAATAATGATCACTCACTGAGTGGTATGGTTTTACATAAATAATAATGATGAAATTGCAATAAAAAAAAAAAATGTTGATCCGAAAATCACCTTTTACACAGGAATTAAATTAAATATTAATAAGTATATATACATTATTAATGCACACATTTTTAATATTATATTTCTGAAATAGCTTTGATTGTCCCTATATATATATATATATATATATATATATATTTATTTATTGAAAGCCAAAATTTCTAATGAATTTCGGAAATAAAGATGTTATGTTGCTAATAGTTGTCAACAAAATTCTCTATCTACTACTCCAGAGTCAAAATAAATCATAGTGATTACAAACAATTTATATTTCTAATTTTAAAAAGTATTAATCAAGAATTATTATTATTGTTAATTGTAGACAAATTTGCCACCTCTCCTGTACATTCACTCCTCATCCAGAATCCCATCCTACCTAAACTGCAAAAGGAGAAGAATACCTTTCTTCACCCATCCCACTCTCCTTTCCTCCAAAAGCAGTTAATCCTTCTGAGGTCAAACATCATTTATAAAGCTATCTCCCCATAAATCTCTTGGGTATAACCTTCTAACCACACAGATCCTTCGGTAACTTCCATTCTAAGCAATCATATTCCTCACTTATGAGTATAAATACAATTGTATCTTACAAACTACTCACTTTCCTCTCTTATGGAAATACTCTGTCATCATCCTTTTTCTGAAACCATGTAAACCTTCTATTAACACAATATCCTATAGACCAATAAGCCTACTCCCAATCTTTTCAAAAATCTTTGAAAATATTCTACTGAAACGAATCCTATCCATAATATGATCACAAAACCTCCCTACCTACCAATTCAGATTTCATTCCCAACATTAAAGCTATCTAAATCAGTTCTTATATCTAGTACTCCGATCCTACCTCTCTGACCGCTCCTTTCAAGTCTGCTGTGGTACAGAATTATTCAACTGTTATTCCATTGAGACATGAGTTCCTAGAGGCAGCATCTTGGGTCCTATCCTTTATATTCTCTTTACCGCTGATATTCCTACTCATCCCGAAACCTACCTGGCAACATTCACTGATGACACAGCCATCCTATCTTCCAATTCAGATCCCGAAAAAGCATCCTTTAATCTACAGCCACCTCTCTCATATTGAACACTGGATTTAATAAGTGGCATACGAGTAAATGAATCCAAATTCAAACATATCACCTTCACACTTCGGCGCAAGTCCAGTCCACTAGTTTATTTCAACTCCATACCATACCTTATAACAATACCTTACAACTTCCTCTCTCCGAAACAGTTTGGTATATTGGCATCCTTCTAGACAAAAGGCTAACGTGGAACCCACAAACCAAACTTAAAAGACAACAGCCTAACCGATGATATGGCCAACTATATAACTATATACTCAATAGAAAATCTCAACTTTTAGTTGAGAACAAACTACTAATCTACAAAACAATCCTGAAACCTATCTGGACCTACAAAATGGAACTATGGGGAACAGCAAACATTTCTAACATCAAACATATTCAATCCTTCCATATTAAGTAGCTTAATATATGTGCTAGTGGACGGTGCTGAGACTGTCGGTATGTCCCTGGCCTGATCGAAGCTCTATTTTTTAAAATTCTAGCTTTGAAGAGGATCCCATCGTTGACTTATAAAAAGAAAATACCGGGATCGAAACATCAATAAACATAGAAAATATGAACATCCAATAGTTTATTAACTAATTAAAAGTGACCTTATTCCCAATTAAATAGTTAAGTTTAAATATATATATGTTATATATATACTTTTTTTTTTACTTTAGTTATTTATATTTATTTTACTTTCATATGTACATATTATGTGAATGAATACTGTAGCGCTATTACCAATGCCCTTCATTGTGGCAGACTGTATTAATAATCAATAAAATCATGGAAAGTCATGGAATGATTTTTAAAAATTTCAGATAAAACTTTTGATCAGATTTTATTTTTATTTTTTAAATTATCGATTTCAAACCCTGTTACAAACTATATTTTTAGTTATTTTTCTCTTTGGTATAAGTATATACTGATTTTTATCTGCAACCTGATCTTGCTAGGGGCAACATATAGTTGTCTGTGGGAAAAAGTAAAAAAAGTAGCTATACTCTCTTCTATTAAATCAAATCAAACATGCTTAATATTTTTCTCTGTGCTTCACAATTCTTTAATACAAATGAAACATTAATGAGAAATTGTATTCTTCCAAAATATAATTCCGTGTTTCTAAGAAACACAGATTTCGGCTGGGAAATTTTCTTTCTCATATCTCTACTGTGTTTTACTGCAGTCTGAATGAAGAAAATGATATTTCATCTCGACTACATGTACATTACGATGAATAACTGGATATAGATTTCTCTGCCTCTTAAGGCAACATTAAATACATAATTTAGGATCGATTGAAGAAGTTTCTTTAAAGACAAAATTGGATGAACTAGTTGGAGTCACTGGGATATCTTAAAGTTTGAATCATGGACATCTATAAAAACTGAAGAACTCTGATGAAATGATTTTTGATATAGTAAATCAAGATGAGTCCGTAGAGAAAGACAACAATGGAAATAAAGATAAAATCCCAAAATTAGCCAAGTAAAACTGTTTCATCAACTTTAAAAATGATTAGAATAGGTGGAACAACAAGATGAAATCATGCCTCCAGAAGTTCTTCCAAGAGATGGAATATGTATGTGCACAGCTACCAAAGAAGGGTCTGGCTAAAGCCAAAGAAAATAGAGGATTATTTTTATATATAAGGTTTTAATTCATTATTTTAATTCATAAATAAGCATTTTAATATTATTTATACATACACTGAAATACAAGTGATTTTATTCAAAGATTTATTTAATTTTCTAATGGCCCGGTTCCATCCATTTGGATTATCGAGACTTCACTATACTAATATATTAAGTGCCAGTCATGCATTAGCAAACTAAATATTTTTTATGTTTTGGGTTCATTAAATGGACAATTTGTTGTTTTGAATTTGTTTGTTTTGGTATTTTCATTTAATATATTGTAAGATTTAATAAAAATAGGTTGCAGGTTTTTGTTGCAATTCATACGTGTAAGTACTAATGTACTACAAACACGTTGGTTCATTTTTTGGAAATATTTTTGCATCATTAGTTATTTTAAACAAATTTTTGGTTTATATTTCACAAATATTGTGTCACAACTCTATGTACTCCTACCTTTATTACATAGACTGCTAATAAATAATAGAGTTGTAAGATGGTCAAAGAACATAATAGTTAAAGATTCCGTATATTATATATTTTCCAAATATTCAGAAGTGCATTTAAATATGCTAAGATATCTAAGCATGTTTAATATTTTAATATCTAGATATCGTTTCATTACATATATGTAGATAAACGATTTCTTTTTAAATTTATATTTTAAAGAAGTAGACGAAATATAAAACAAATAGATATATAGACTCAAGGAATGTGAATATGGAACGAAGAAACAGAAAATACAAACATTTATATCACATGATTCTACAATCTCCTGAACCATTCAAAATATGTTACAATCAGTAAATTAAACTGGAAATTTTTCGACCACATAAAAAAAAAAAAAAAATGTTTTCCGACAAATATAGAAAAATATTTGTTTTCTACGAAATATGACACAAAAATGGATTCCATTCATAATTAAATAAATATATAATTATTACGGGCTAAAATAACTAAATAAAATAAATGAATATTACAAATTATATAAAAATTGTTTATTCAAGTATACCAATAAATTTCTAATTAATGCTAATATAGTAATTTAGTTTGAGTCTAAAATTCTAATAAATACAATTAGCATAAACTAATGTAAACAACATTAAACTAACAAGTTTTTCTATGCATGCTCTCACCTGACACATCATGCATACTAACATATAGGATAAATCTATACCGTAGTATGCTGAGAAATGTGATTAATATGACTTCCTGGCTCAATTTGAGCGTATACAGTTGGTTCACCACCAGGGGAAAGTAATTCAGAATATGCATTACAAGTTCCTGCCAAACTAAGTTCTGCATAGGTAACCTCTCCCTTCTAAAAAGTAAAAAATAAATTGATACACTAAGATGTATATATTATTTACCATAATTAGTTTTATAAAATGCATAAATTATGTAACTAGGAATAGTCGTTAATTATGTCATTCCAATATAAAAAATTAATATTATTAATTATTACATTTACTATTGAAGTCAATGGCACTAGAGAAGTGTCTCCCCATTACAGATCAGCTGGACATTCTCTTGTTCATTTCTTGATATGACTAGGACTTTGGTTTTGGAACTATTGATAATCATACCTTTGCGGAGGAGTTCTTTCTGCCATTCTACAAAGGCCTGTTACAACTTGTCTTTCGTGTCAAATTAATAAAATTTGGAGGACAGGAATTAATTAAATTTCTCCAAGAATTCCTTAAAAAAATATGGGATACAAAGATAGTCACAAGAGATTGGGAGCTCAGCTTAATCCACTATCAGAATGATGTCATCGACATATAGTAGGCTTTGGACCATAATATTCCTCATGTTCCATTTTCCGATGACCGTCCAAGCAGTACGACGGCATCCAAGCTTATAAATTTTATGGATTTAATCCATAAATATGATGAACAAGAGATGACTTAGGATGTATTCCTGCCTGACTCCTCTCTCCATGGGAAAAGGCTTGGACTCTCTTCCGTTAATTCTTACAATTCCTTTTGCTGCCTTATAAGCCGATCTAATTGCCGTGACAAGATCAGCTGGGGCATTTTTTTCCACCAAAGCATCCCATATTTCATGTCTTGGAACAGAATCAAATGCTCCTTAGAGGTCCAGAAATGCCATGCATATGCTCTTGTCTCTGTCCCATGCTTTCTCTGCGGTGCCTCTTAGCTCAAAAATGTGATCTTGAGTCTGCCTCCCCGGACTAAAGCCTGCTTGTTCACCCTCTATTTGGTTCTCAACTGCATGCCTTAAGTTTCTTTCTAAGATTGAGGAGTATAGTTTGTAAGCCACTGAAAGTAAGCTTATAGGCCTATAGTTTTCACAATCTGTGGAGCTACCCTTTTTATGAATTGAGACAATTAAACTGAACTCCCAATCTCTTGTGAATATCTTTATATCGTATATTTTCGGAGGCTATGTCATCCCTTCCCGCCGCTTTATCTATTTTAAGTTTTTGGATGGCATATTCTATATCGCCTTCCTCAACGACTTCTAGACTTTCCAGAATATTATTTTCTACCAGATGTTCTTCTGGGTCAGTGGGTCCTCCTGAAAAGTGTCCCTGATAGAACTATTTCTGCAGTTCGAGAATTTTCGCTTTTCCAGTGACCATGCTGCCACTAGAATCTTTGACATCTCTCTTGGCTTACTTATTTTTCCTCTTGATGTTTTTACTTCAAGTCAGAACTTTTTAATGCTTGCCCAGTAGTCTTTATCAAGAGTTTTTCCGAATCTTTCCCATGACTTTCTTTTCTTTTACTGACCTGCTATTTTAAATTGATTTCTGGCTTGGTGGTATTCATCTAGTTTTCCAGTTGTTTTTTCTTGAAGATAAGCTTTCCACAATTTCTTCTTGGTTGAACCAAACGTTGTACTTCCTCATTCCACCACTGTGTGCGCTTTTGTTTATTAGATATTTTGCGAAAGCAGCAAACTTCCCTTGCAGTTTTCAGAATATAGGATTTTAAATGGCACCACCGTTTTCCTACATCCCCTCTTGGTTAATGGTTCTCAATTTTCCTCACAGTTTTTTGGTATAGGAAGTTCTCTTTTCTAGGTCATCAAGAGCTTGCATGTTCACTGCCTGGTAGCTCTTTTGTTTAATTTGCCGCTTCTGTGGAATTTTGGTATCGGCTATTAGGAGCAGATGATCGCTGCCAATTCCAGACTCGAGAAAGTTATTTTATGTATTGTTTTGTGGGGAAAGATGGGATTTCTCACCAGCATATTATTTCTATCCAGAATTCAATAAGGTATTGGACATTTCCATTTCTTACACTTTCCTCTCCATGGAGGTCGAGGGCATCGTAAGTGGGAGAAGGATCACAATCTGTTCTAGTATTGAAATCTCCAATCAGTATTGCGAATCGCCCTTTGTACCTTTGTTGAGCAATCCTTGCAAGTCAAAGTAGAATGCTTCCTTATTCATGATTCCCGCATCCTCCGTTGGTGCATATACCTGCACTAAAGTAACTTTCCCAATGTCCAATATAAAATTTTGCAGCAATTATTCTTGATGAGATAGGATCCCAATCTTCCATTTGTTTATACATTGTTGGAGTCATAGCTATACCTACTCCTTCCTTCGTGAAGTTTCCTTGAGGAACTCCAGCATATATAAGGGCATAATCATTCTCCAGTTTTATTTCACTGATTCCTTTCTTCTTTACCTCGCTGACCCCAAGTATATCCATCTTATATGTGTTCATCTCTTCCACAAGCTCAACCTCTTTTCCTATCAATGTCTTTATATTTCAATTTCCAAATCATAAATCCCTATGAGTGCCAGGTCGTTTCTATGAGATCTGTTCACATCCAAGACTGGTTTGTTGACTTTGAATAGATTATACTACCATGTTGGTTATTAGCCCAGCGATGGAGGTCCCATTTCCTCGGGACAATTGGTCTCCTGAATATTTGTCTCCCCTCAGGAGAAAGGATGGCCAGGTAATACCCCCCAGCACTGGGCACCTGTTAGTCCATGGGTTTTTATTATGTATATTCAGATCACCTCTCTTAAGAGGGATTCCCCATCCGCCACCTGGAGGACGCGCTCCCTAGTGTATGGGTTCACCAAGATCAATATCAATTACGATGCTAAAAAAAAAACCAACAAGATTTATTTTTTACCATAGAAAATTATATTTACTGTTGGAGTCAATGGCACAAAAGAAGAGCATGTTTCATTTATCGGACATTCCAATCAAAAGTGTTAGTAAGATTCTCTCAGTAAACTGTCTGTTCTATGTCCTTTTGAGACAACCATATTTATTTTCAAAATTTAATATACTCGTATTAATAGAATTTATGATACACTATTAATTATTTATTATACTTTTGAAATTAATATAGAAATAAGAAAAACTATAGTATACCTTTGGTTTAATTGATGTTTCAATTCTCATTTCACTTGGATAAAGTGTCATATTGGACGTTTCAACAGATTTTTCGTTAGTTCCTTGAAATTCTGAAATGAATATAATGTATAAGGTTTAAATGTAGAGAAGCATCAAAGAACAAAAAACGTTAAAGGTTAATTTTTGGTTAAAACTATTCATAAATTAAACCCAGAGTGATAATGACTAAATTCGAAATAAATATAAATATTTCTGATAAAATTGACAATTTAAAAAAAACTTCCAACATTGTGTAATGAATGCAGAAAAAAAGGGTATTGGTTATGGCAAACATTAGACTTGTGAACTTTTTCAACTACCAGGTAGCATCACTATTCCTTAGAACACTATTAGTAAGTATGTATAGTTATTTCTTCTTAGCAAGAAATGATAAGGTAGGGGGAGGATGTTTCTGATTAGCACCAGAAAATGTATCTGAATTTTTGTTGTTTTTCAAATCTTTTATAAATCATAGTAAAGTGGCAATATTTGTGTATTCATAATTAATATAGAAAACATTTAAAACTCACCTGAATTGAGGGGAATGATATCAGGATTATTTTCTAAGCTTTCGGTGCTATGACCATGAGTATGTTGTTTGAGTTCATTAAGTTTGTCATTATCTTGTCTCTTATTTTTTTCTCGACATTTCAAAGCTATCACAATACACACTGCTATTAAAACGAATGTAGCAACCAATCCTAACAGCATGCCAAGCAATGGGACTAGTTGTAACATTACTGGATTCATAGCTGAAAAAGAAAATGAGTAAAGAGGTTAGAAATTAGTGAAAATTTATTGAAAAACCATTCTGATATGAGATTTTACCAGAAGATTGTAACCTATGATGAAAAGTGAGTTTACTGGCAAAATCAGAATACCCGTAAGCAATGGCTATATCGTGGTCAAGCTGCTTTTCCGGTTGCTGCAAGGGGGCAGTTTGAAAAAAAAATCCATGCTTTGCGTTTTTTGGAATTTTAAAGGTGTTATTCATCACAAATTTGTTCCTGATGGATGCTCTATAAATTCTGAACTCTACTGAGAAAAACTGGAAATATTGTAAGCGAAGTTATCAGAGAGTTATCCTACTTTGATCAACCGAAAAGTAATTTTATTCAAACAAAATAATGCTCGCACTCACACTTCCCGTCGAACCAAAGGAAAGTTTAAAGAACTTCATGGGTTTGAACTCCTGCCTTATCTACCATATAGTGCAGACCTCGTGCCATTGGATTACTACTTATTTAGAAACATGGCCCATTATCTTCAAGGTAAAAATTTCTATAATTTTGTGGATATTGAAATTGCGGTGCAATAGTTCTTTGACAACCATCCCAAAGAATGGTATCAGCATAGGATCCAGCAATTGGCTAGCAGATGACTAATGATGGTAGATAACAATGGACTATACTTTGAGTATTAATTGTATTTTAAATCAAAGAAATTACATGGTGGGCCAGACCCTCCTATCGTGCACCCCCCCACATCCCTATAAATTGCATATCGTTGTGTTCCTTGTAACTATTTATTAAAAAAAAGCCAATGTTCCTCCCAAAAAAGTGAACGCACTGCCCCAAAATGGCGTCCAAAGATGGCAGATTGACGACTTTGACTTTAGTTAGTTTTTCTGTCACTGAGAATCAGCACTTGGTTTAATTTCCTCATGGCTCGTCTTTTATTAAAGCTGAATAGTCAGAAAATAATAAAACATGAGAAAATATTTAAAAATATTTGGCATACTCAATAAAAAACACCAGTAAAGTAAAACATTTTAACAAACAAAATTTCAAGTTTAAAATAAAGCGTTGTTTGTAATTAAACAGCCAACAATAACGCAAAATGTGCTGAAATAAAACATCTGGAGAATATATTTGTCTTTCTAAAACACTGATTACTTTTTACAATCTTTGAAGTAGTTCCGTAGAAAATGAACTTATGCGGGGGAAAAGCGGTGCCGGCGTAGGTGCCTACAAGCCTCTACCACACCATTTTGTACACATAAATGGCTTAGTTATAGTGATATAATAACGTTTTTGGTACATTATATTGGTTTTATTAACTAACAAATATTAATGCAATCATTTAATTGTAAAAAAAATTTTTTTGTTAAATTTATTATTTTATTTAACTTACTTTATTCTATATGGTCATTTAAGTAGACATCTATAGTAAAAATTATATAATTATAATAATTAAAGTTAATTAAAAAATACTTTGCTGAATATCTTGAATTTTTTATTTGACGTTTGCAACACACTTCGTTTTGTATATTTACTGATTCTTAGAAGTAATTTGAATTGTATATACTTTCCAGGAAATGAGTCATATCAATACTTGTTTTATAAACTAAAATAATATATACCTAATCCGAACTACATTTTTATTATTAACTGATCCAAATTAGTATTGTAGAACTGATTTTGGGTTTGGTCTCAAAATGAGGGAAAACGCGAAATTGGAAAAATACATTAAGCAAACGAGAAAGGAAGTGCCAAAATCTTGAAAAAGAAAAAAATAATCAGTGTAAAAAAGTAATCAGTGTTTTAGAAAGACAAATATATTCTCCAGATGTTTTATTTCAGCACATTTTGCGTTATTGTTGGCCGTTTAATTACAAATGACACTTTATTTTCAACTTGAAAATTTGTTTGTAAAAATTTTTTACTTTACTGGTGTTTTTTATTGCGTATGCTAATTATTTTTTAATATTTGTTTATGTTTTATTATTCTCTGACTATTTAGCTTTAATAAAAGACCAACCATGAGGAAATTAAACCAAATGCTGATTCTCAGTGACCAAAAAACTAACTAAAGTCAAAGTCGTCAATCTGCCATCTTTGGACGCCATTTTGGGGCAGTTCGTTCACTTTTTTTTTTTGTGGAAAAATTGGCTTTTTTTAAATAGATAGTTACAAGGAACACAACAATATGCAATTTATAGGGATGTGCATGATAGGGAAGTCTGGCCCACAGACTAAATAATAATAAAAATATTTGGTTGAAGAATGGTAATTTTTTTTATACATCCTATTAAAATAATAATAATAATTATATAAGTTTTTCTACTAATTAAGTCATATTTATAATACAAAAGTAATTATCTAAATGTATATTGTTATTGATTTGAAATATCAACATCTAAATATAAAAGTGTACCTGTTCTTTTTTGAGGAGATTTCAAGGTATAGGTGTGGATTATTACAGAGTCACTCTTGCCTTTACTATTTGATGCATAAACATTAACATCAAATTCCAATCCAGGAGGTAAACCTGCAACGGTTAAAGTAGGGGTTGAGGAAGTTATATTTGCGATTAACATCTTTTTTCTTGACTCAAAAACTTCCATCACAAATTGTTGTGGCAAACCGCCATCAAATCCTTCAGAACATTCAACCCCCAACGATATCTCAGTTTGGTTGATTAATGAGCAGTTAAGAAGTGAATCTGGACGACCTAAAATATTTATTTTTAAATATCTTGCTAATTTTATAGTAATATTTAATATTAAAGTTATATTTATTTTTACCAGCAGGAATTATGTGGTAAGCACAAGGCTGATGCATGAGACCAAGTTGGTTTTTTGCCCAACACAATAGTGTTCCAAAGTCATGTTCTGTATTAGGAGTGTAGGTAACAATACTGTGACTACCTTCAGAGGTATATCTTGAGTTAGAAATTTCAATGCTTTCTCCTGTGTTATTAAACCTCCAAATATATTCCATAGGAAAGGGGTTAGATTCAATTTCACATGATATTTTAACAGTTTCACCTTTTCCTACTCCTACAACATTAGCCTGACCAGGTCGGCAAACTGGTGAAACTAAAAATAAAAATAAAATTAAAGTTATAACAAATATTCATATAACCATGAATAAAATGATCGGTTTCCAATTCCATTAAATTTACTTGGGTGTATATTTTTTAATTTTTTATAAAAGACAGCAGGGAGTGAGGTAGTTCAGTGGAGTAAGGGACTGTACTCCTATTCTCTTGGATCTGGGTTCGAGTCCGGCTGTGGCAGATAATTATTTGTTCTCTTGCATCAGCCGTGGATCGACCCATTCGAAAGAAAGGAAACAGTAAACTATGTTTACATCAAATATTTAATACAATATTTTTAATATGATTAAAAACAAGGGCATGACTATTAAGATTTAAAAGTGTTATTAAATAAATGACTATACATTGGTTTTATAATTTTATACTCACATTTAACATCTAAATATAATGGATTACTTTCCCCATCTCCTTCTTGATTACTAGCTACGCAAGTGTAAATACCAGCTCTAGCGCGACTTACAGTCTGTAGAACTAAACTTTGATTGGCCAATATTGTACCTCCATTTGGGTTGTTAGTGACAGTTTTGCCCTTAAAAAATAGTAAAAAGAAGAATATCAATAACTTTTCATTAATTATTTATATCTAACATTAAAATAATAGTACAGCATAAATTTGAACTTTAATTAAACACTTTTATTTTTTCAAATGTTTTAATTTTCTTTCTACCAATGAATAAACTAAAAAAACAATAGAAAATAATGAAATTACTTTTTCAACATTCCTGGATACAAAATATAATATATAATATAATTTATGAAAATATGACTGGATATAATATATAATGTAAATTCATAGTTATAAATAGTAAATATTGAATGAATTAACATGTTTTATGAACTTTTTAAAATATTTTATTAACAAAAATTTAAAAATAACTAATCATTAACTATATATATGATAATTTTATAAAATTATAAATTTTGTAATATGAAATAAATTTTTAAGTTTTAGAATAGTTTGATAACAATAGGAAAACTATAAATATTTAACTTACATTATGTCGCCAACTCACACGATACACCCATGGGTTGGACTTTATATTACACTCAAAGTACACATCAACACCTTCTCTAATCCAACTGCCATTGAGGTTACTACCAAGCTCTAAAGTTACAATGGGCACATCTGAAAAAAAGAGAAAAGGGGAATTGTCAAACTTGAACTCCATTACAGCAAATAATATATTTTTTATATAAATTATTATAATTCACAAATTCTGGTTGGAATCCATTAGTTAAATAAAAAAAACTTAGTTTAAGAAGATGTTTCCTAGCAATCATTAATATTGGTTTTATAAAGAAAAAATAATGACGATAGAAATGATGGTAATTATTTAGATGAGGATCGCACAGGTTACTATCACCACGCGTAACCCGTGCTGTATCTACTATTTAAAATTGCTAAAAGTAACATTTAAAATAATATGCATGAATATCTATTATGTATTTTTTTTCACAACAAATAAAGTTAAAAAAGAGCTAGTTCTTTTAGAAGTACTTGTTTTTAAAAACTTTATGACAGCTATAAAACATTAAAAAACGAATATTAATGATTGCTAGGAAACATCTTCTTAAACTAAGTTTTTTTTATTTTTTATTTAACTAATAAAATTTTGATCAACAGTAAGATTAACTAGTAGAATTCTGTTGATTTTAGATGAAAAAAAAAGACAAATTCTATCATAAATCATACTTATTGATTTCCAAAGTATAGAATAATTCTTTCTGATTGATATTTCCTTATAATTTAATTAAAGATTTCCATTTAATTTTGAATGTCTTAATTGAGAAAAATTTATCTCAATAAATTTAGATTATTAAATTATTGATAATAAAACTACCTTTAGGTTAAAAATACATTATGATCAATAGCTAAAAGCAATCTTATCGTTAACTTACGATATATATTTAATTTCCATCCATCTTCAATTCCAGATCCTGGAATTCGAGAATTCACTGCTCGACAGGACAAAAATTTCCCAGAATCTTCCATGTTTGGTGAAAGGATTAATGTACTGACTGTACGATTTCCATCAGTGCTAGTCTATTAAAACAACAAGTTACATAAAATTAGCATTTTTCCTAACATATTAACAAAAGAGAGTATATTTGGAGATAATGAATTTAAAAAGAAATACATGTTTAGTTTGAGCATTGAGAAACAGTCATTCATTATGTCAATTTCAAAACACTTTCAATCTTACTGGAAGTGGAATGTTATGCAATATTACTGATAGAAAGAATAAGAGAACTAATATAGCTTATATTTTAGAAGGAGACTTCATTTTCATACACTAAAACAATATCTATGTGTCAGTAAAAAACCTGGAAAACTGACTAATTACACCATATCAGGTAAATTGTATAAGACAAATCTTTATATGACCTCAAAAAAAAAAAAAAATAATAACTGCCACAATGACTTGTGAGCTTATATCTGAAAGAGCTCACGGGAAAAATGGGAAACAATTCTCTGTAGTTTTTTTAAATGGATATTTATGGACAACTATAGTTTTACTGAGGGATTCAAGCATATTAATGAGATCAGATATATGGAATAAGGACAACCTATGGTTAGAAGAAGAATTTCTAAAAGTATCTGGTAACAATGTAGCATGGAATAGATGCACAGACAATGTTTACAACCAAGCTCTAGAGAGCAATCTAGAGACCTCCATGTGTTTTTATTAATGCTTTTACCAGAGAATGAGATACTCCCAATAATCAAATCCCTTGAGACGGCAAAGTTGATTAATCTCTTTCCATTCTGGTTGCTTTTTTCATGGAGGCTCCATTTTCCAATTGTAGGGCGATATATTTCTTCTTGGCCAACCTTGGCATTAAAGTCTCCTAGCAGCATTTTTACATCACTTCAAAGGGTAACTGTCGAGCTCTCTCTCCTATGCATTGTAGAAATCTTCTTTTTCCTCCATGGAAGATTCTTCAGTGGGATCGTGACAATTAATTAGACTTATATTATAGAAGTGTCCCTTGAGCCTTAGTCTACAGAATCTTGGATATATGTCAGCATAATCTATGACTCGTTCTCTCATTCTTCCCCCTACAATAAACCCGGTGCCGAGCGTTCAGTTTTTACTTTGGCAGCTGTAATAAACTGTATGATATCTTTTCTCCAGGATTCCTGTTCCAGTCCAACGAATTTCTTGGATCACAGTGAGGTCAATCTTATAATTGTCAATTTGCTTCAAGTCCTCCGGGTCTATTAACAGTTAAAATGTTCCATTGTCCAATTATTATATCCTTATGACGGTTACGATCTCTTTTACCATTAATCAATCCGGCATTTTCTCTTTGAGGTTACGGGAAAAGGGTGGTTTAAGTGGAAGAGGATATAAACCCATAATCTGCCCCAGAGTCAGGTGTATCCTCGGAGTATCCTGGCACACTCCCCCATCCTGGATGGCTACCTAGGGAAGGTGACCCTAAGGTGTGTTATTGATCCTAGTGTTTAATTTGGGGGTGAGTGTAGTGTGCTGTAATCTGTGTACTGTGTGAGTGTTTGACTGTGTACTTTGACCGGGCAATGGGAACGACGTCTCCCTACGCCAAATCTGTAAGATAATATCAAGTGAGACTGACAGCTCAGAAAAAAGTAAACATTATTTTACACATATTCGGAAGATTGATTGCTCAGGAGATTAAAAAAAAAGTTGTTTAAATGAGGTCAAGGATGAGGATTTGCATATGGAGGTTGGTAAGGAATTCCAAAACAAGGATTTTTGAAAGGAAACAGTTCTATGAGAAGGAATAAACAGGTTTGAGAGCTGGGATTGGGTGTTGAACGAATGGACAGAGGAACAACATCTGGATATTAACATTAACATCATGTGGATATTAAAAGATAAAAACGAAAAATTTATGCATGTTCAGTATAGATTGGGTAAGGAATGTTCAAACAACCAGGTGGAGAAATCAACTCTCCTTAAAGTAAATGAATATCTCATTGAGAATAAGATAAATACACATGCAGACATAACAATTTACACAGACAACATGAACGTTATACATTAAATTCAAAATCCAAAATTCCATGAGGAATTTACAGACGACATTAAAAAGAATTTGGTCAAACTACATTATTATAACATAAACATACAGTGGATTAGAGGACATTCAGGAATAGAAGGTAAAGGAGAAGCAGACACACTTGTGAAGTTACCAGCTCCTAGTGTTCTTCCACTTTCGTATAGTAAGTATACTTTATCATATCTAAAAGCAGACAGCATAAACAAACCAATAGTAAAACGGAACCAAACCTGGGCTGTTTCAGTAAAATCACCAATCATTCATAGATTTATTCCCATTATCACACACCGCAACTATAAAAGCATACTCAGAACTGATTACAAACTAACACAAATCCTTACTGAACATGGGCAAACTAAACAATATTTAACACATTTTAACATATTACATGATGATAGGTACCCACAGAATGGACAGATAAACAATTTTTAAAATTTAATATTCAACTGCAGGCAACTAGACAATATTTGACTAAGACTGATACAAAATGTTGAAACAAGGAACTTATAGAAGGCTAGAAACAGAACAGAGACTAATGACAAAATATAAAAAAAAAAATCATAGATTTTATTAAATAAATAGACTTTGAGTACTGACTGATGAATGTTGGAAGGAAGTTTAAATTATTTAAAAGTTGGTCAGTTTTGCTTAGCTGTGCTTTTTTATTTAATTAGTTTATGTAGTTTTGTTTATTTTCAGTTACTTTTAATTCAATTTATTTTTTTATTTATTTTACATTATACTGTCTTTTATTTTTATTCTAAAGGCATTTTTTTTATTGTGATACTTTTCTTTTTCTACTTTTGTTTACTAATTTAATTACTTTTTATTGTCTGTAATTATTAACTATTGTCCGTGTGGCAGAATGTTTTTTAACTGAATAAATAAATTGAAAAAAAAAACTAAGAAACTAACATTGCAAACAAATTTAAATATATATGTATTGTATAAATGCAACATGTATTGTGCCTAATTACAATAGTCATGTAATTTTCCCTTAATAAACTTTCCTTCTTTTGGGTTACCATAGAAACAATATATATATATATACACAGACACACGCACTTGGAAATGTAGATACAGTTTGTCAGTTATTATATCTTCTACAGAATAAAATCTTTGTGTTAGTTATCAATAAAAAATAACCAAATTTCTTTTTTATTCCAAAACTTATAAATAGTCGAATATACATACACACATTATGTTATTTTAATTAACACAAAAATGATTAATGATAATTTAGAATCATTTACTGTCTCTCTGGTGTTTCGAAGTTGAACACTGCCTTTCCACCATGTAATTATTGGTGTAGGTCTAGCACCAACAACTTCACAAGAAATTTCGTAAGTCGTGTCACTGCTGAGGGGCCGATTTTCCCCAAGGAGTTTCACCCACAGAGCTCGTACTGTAAAAAAGCAAAATGAAATATCAGTAATCAAATTAAAAAATCTGATATCCTCTTTCTTCAATAAGTATTTAAAAAATCATAATTTGAAATGAAAATTAGAGTGTCTCATTATATTCACAAACGTTTAAATAGATAAAACATTCCAAATGTGTTCTATTTAGATCAAGTGATAATATTTTATAGGATAACAAAAGAGCAAGGCAAACACAGATCTTCTAAGAGATCATCTGTTTCTAGACGTCATTCTTCATTACTGTTTTTGTACCTGTCCAACAGTTTTCTAATACCCAAATTTCCACTAACGGTGTCTTCAAAGTTATCTGGTCCTTCAGAGATACAGCAAAACACTCTACTGTCAAAGCATTCAATCCTGACAATCTGAGTACTGTAACAATTTAATCTTACGAAAAAGATCCTCCATGAGCACAAGAAGAACAAATCTTACTTACTGGACCTCAAACTTTCAAAACTTTTATTACTGTATTTTTGAACATCCTAATTAATACCCACATGATCCTCTTAGAAGAGAAAATTCGGTGTCTGACAATGACATATGCTGCTAATGTATCCATAATCGGCCTCCAGTTTTGTAGCTGGAGTAGATTGGCTGAATTTCCTAGAACCCTGTTTTCTTAGCCATAACTCAGGTGAACAGATTTTAACATTGGCAAAGCGGGAAACCACCATTGACCGGAGAGGGGATGTTCTTGATTAAAAGTTTGGTTTATCAAGTCCAAAGAGTAGTTCAAATTTATTATTACAATGATTAATTTTACATAATGATAATCTGGGACGGTGTGGCCGAGCGGGCTAACGCGTATTCAAAACACACGTTGCCCGCTTTAGAAGGTATAACATAATTACGAGTTCGCGTCACGGTCCCAGGAGGCCTTTAACTGTGCATTAATCCTCCGTCCTCTCCCTCCCCCCCAAAATTTATAATCTGTTGCAAATATTAATCAGGTGACAGACATAGTATTCAGCTGAAATAAGGTTGAGAATTTACTTCGAAAGGCGTATTTTTGAGAGCGAATAATTTTATGATTTATTTGACGCCTAATTTATGACTTCAATAATAACACATTCTTTAATACAAATTTTTTGTGCCAGCAGTTTGTACACAATCAAGCAGCTGTTTTTAAAAATGTTAAAAACTTATGTTTAAAACTAAAAACTATTGAATCAGCATTATTTCGAAGTAGTAAATGAAGTTAATTTGCTGGTGTCAAAGATTTAACCTTTTACTCATCAATATATATTTTTAATAATGATACTTCATTAAAAAGATCATTTTAGGTTGCTCGTTTTCATTAAGTCTATATAATGGTGGTCAAATTCTAACAACTGGTCAACAATGTAATAATCAACAATGTCTTTGCTAAGCAGTTTTCGATAATCTGTTCTAAATAATTATTCGTTATTATTAAAGTTTAACATTATAAAATCAACAAAAATAATATTAAACTTTAGAAGATTAATGATTAGCTTCCATTTTAATCTTAAACCCTGTCGAGGTTCAGAGGTAATTTGCCTATATACTGTTCCTCGAATCGACATAATTGGAGAAAAAAGAAATAGCTGTTGAGAGGGTATGCCTACACGATTCTCTGCTGGGCGTTACAGAGGCTAAAGCGCACTTTTCAATTCTCCTCTCCACTTCAGTGGATATCAAGCTAATACATATTAAATACATTTCATAATAAATTAAATATTTAAGTATTAATATTTCTGATTCGTCATTGTCCTTTCGGACGAGGAAGGAGTACGCTAAATTAGATCTACATTCTAAAACAATTACTCGAAAAACGATAGCAAGTAGCTCAGTGTGTTCACGCCTCATTTGTCAATTTCAAAGCAGCCAATAACTCCGTGGAAATGAATTGTCTTTAGAAAATTATGACTGAACTGGGAGTTCCCGAGAAGTTGGTAAAATTGACGAATATGTGTAAAAATGACCTTAAATGTCGAGGCCTAATTCAAGAAGTATCTGAAGCCGCCAATGTTCGGACTGGCTAACGGTAGGAAGGATGCTGTTCATCTTAGCAATGGAGAAGGTGATAAGAACAACATTACGTGAAAATGGAGGGGTACACGTCGGAATGAATCATAAAATCCTAGGATATGCAGATGATTTAGCGGTTCTTGGAACCAATCAAGAGGATATTAAGAAACTCGCTAAGATTCTGATAAGAGAAGCAGAGCAAATCGGCCTACAAGTTAATGAAGATAGAATAAAATCTATGATAATAAGCCGCAAATCCCAATAACAGGATCTAGAAGGGAAATCGTTCCCGGGAGTATAAAAATGCAATAGGTACTTCGGCTCCACAATAAACTCGATGAATGACCAACAGTCGGAAATAGAACAGCATATAGCAAGCACAATTTCAAATTAAGGATGTACAATGCTATGATAAAGTCAGTTCTCATATACGGTTGCGAGGCCAGGACTCTAACCAGCACCCACCACGCCAGTCGTTACCTACAGATGTGAAAAGGGGTTGTTGACCCAGGAAAGCGATGGGTAGCTGAAAATTTGGGAAAGGAAAGTCCTAAGGAAAATACATGGCCCCAAAAGAATAAATGATTAGTGGTGAATAAGAAAAAGTGAAGAGTTATATGAGCTTTATAGGAATAATATTTTGCCATGGTCAAAAGGCACCGCCTCAGAGGGTTTGGCCAAGGAAGATAGATTGCCAAGGAAACTTCTCTAGAAACGCCCAGGAGGGACGCGCCTTAGGTGAAGACCCCGGCTGCGGTGGATCGACGAAGTAGAAGAAGACCTCAGCCGTATGGGAATAAGAGAAGATGGAGAAGAATAGCTGCCGATAGAGAAGCCTGGAGGAAGCTTGTTTCTGAGGCCTAGGTCCGTTAAGGACTGTAAAGCATATTAATTTACATCAATAGAGGCCTGGATCTACATATCACTGAATGAGTTGATTTGTTTAAATATATTCAGTAACCGTGTTAAGTATTCTAATCTATTTTAAAGAAAATTGATGATGGTGTGACTTTCAGACGACCCAAGGTTTGTCCAGAATAAATAAACCTATATATACATAACCAAATAACCAGGTAGTCCCCGCAAACTCTTTCTTCCTATGACGCTAGTCTTTTACTAATATCAATTGAAAGCACTTTAAATACAGTTGGTAGCAGCGCTATACATCTGTAATTAGCTCAGTTCAATTGTCTCTCTTTTTAAAAATATGATATTAAACTGCCGTGTTACATTCTTCAGGGAATGTTTCCTGCATCCAGGATCATGTATATAAGGTCATAAAGCTGTTTTATTAGGTCTTTTCCGCGCTATTTATCAGCTCAGCTGGAATTTCGTCAACACGCGGAGAGTTATTGTTCTTAAAATCGATAATTATCTTTTCTATTTCTTTCTTCCCCGGCAGTATCTCTTCTTCCTCACATATGTTACCTTCATTTTTTTGTGTTTCTTCTTCGTTATTCATATCTATACCTCCTTGGTTCAATAGTTCTGTAAAATATCCTGTCCATCTATTTAGAATTTCTTTCCTTGATCACAGCAAGTTTTCACATTTATCTTTACGGTAATCTATGTCCGGTTTAAAACCAGTTCTTGAATTTCTGATTCATTTGTAAAATTTTCTGGTTCTTTTGCTGCATATTGTTCTTGCATCTCTCCTATTACCTATTTTCCTTTCCCTTGCTCTCTTTCCCACTCGGCATATTGATGTAAATTATTCAAACTAATAAAGATTATAATAATAGGATAACTGTTTAATTTACTTTACGGAGCAGGGTATGCTGTTGAATTAATAAATAACTATGAAATAAGAGTACCTTTAGAAATCATTTACAATCTTGCCAAAATGTAAAAGTTATTTAGTCAGTAGCAGGAGATAAAGTGATTAGGAGAAATGTTGCTACGGCCACCTTCCCCAGGAACAACCATTCCTCTAGCCATAAATTAGATTTCTCCTTTGAGGCTGAGTTGACAAGAGCAGCCACCTTTGAACCTATCTAAGTGCCGCACTTCACAAGATAAACCAATTTTCTCTCATGCCTCCAATTTTTAAGCACTATTATATAAAATTAAAAGTGGTTAAGATTTCTTAGGCATTTACATTTATTTTATAAATATTTTTTCATTAAAAAATGAAATATCTGTGACTTCCAGGGTCACTATTTACCCCAAAGCGGAGACATTTAGCGAAATGAATGTTACTGATCTGGAACTAAAATGATTTTAACTTAGTGCCGCGCGTTTGATAGAGTCTGGCATCCGGGACTGATGTACAAACTCCGTGAATTCCTACCACCTACATACTTCCTCATTATACGTTCCTACCTTACTGACAGATACTTCAAAGTCAATCATAACAATGCTTATTCATCTCTTTTTACTCAGTCTGCCGGTGTTCCTCAAGGTAGTATCCTAGGTCCTATCCTTTACACAGTTTATACAGCTGACATCCCAACCCAATCCAACACTGTCATCACCTCCTATGCCGATGACACGTGTATCCTATCAGTTAATAACGATCCTTTAATTGCATCCCAAACTCTTCAATCACATATCACAAGCCTTGAAGAATGGTGTAAAAATTGGAGAATAAAAATAAATTCCAACAAATCCCATCAAATCACTTTTACCCTCCGTCGTAAACCTATGACCTCTTGTCCTACAGTATCCTTCAATAATACTCCACTTATTCCTGTTGAGCAAATCCGCTACTTAGGACTCCACCTTGACAAACGACTCACTTGGAACCCCCATACCAGACTGAAACGACTAGAAACCGCCCGACGTTTTCGACTACTGCAGCACTTACTAGACAAACGATCTAAGCTTTCAATCAATTATAAACGACTCGTATATATGACAATAATAAGACCTATTTGGACTTACGGAATTGAGCTTTGGGGCTCCACTAAACCATCGAATTCCTCTCGTATCCAATCCTTACAATCCAAAATCCTTCGTAAAATCCTCAACGCTCCTTACTTTGTCACAAATAAAATCATCCATAAAGACCTTAATGTTCCATATGTTTCCGATCTGGCCCAATCCAGATACCTTTCCTTCCATAACAAACTGCAGAATCATCCGAATCCTCTCGTTTCAAACCTTGCTTCATCCTCGATCCCTGATAATCCTCCGAGGCGTCTGAAAAGAAGATGGCCTCGGGATCTTCTAATATAGAACTTTAATTTGAGTTCTACCAATGGGTAGTTTCTCTTCATGTTGTACATGCCATGTTACAAATTTCTCATTTACTTATTGTATTCTCTATGTAATACAGTTGTAAATTCCATTGAAATAAAAAAAAAAAAAAAAAAAAAAAAAAAAAAAAAAAACTTAGTGCCGCGGTTGTCGATCTTGGGATGCTTTCTTACGCTAGGAGGCGAAAAAAAAAAATAATTTGTAGTAAATTTTGAACTTACAAGTGGAGTTTGAATTTTAATACGTACGAGTTAAGTAATACATGCCCATGTTCTACAGGTTGTCCCGTATGTAGAGGGAAATTTTGATAGGAGTGATAGAAGACCAAAGGATCTACAAAAAAAGTTCATATAAACAATGGCCCGATTTTCAGTAGAACAGTAGGCAATCCAAGTTTTGTGTTTTTTTTAAGAGGGTCATGATTTTTGTTGAATAGGAAGCGATAACTAAAGAAATATTTAATTTATGTAATTATCAATTACTTTACTGTAAACAAGACAAAATTTACTTTAATTAAACTGAGAATCTTTATTAAATGCATTTAAAGAGGACATTTGAGCGACTAAACTAAGCTAAGTTCTGTTTTAAAAAAAAAATCATATATTATTCGCGATTTATATTTATCGTCATCCAACTATACTATAGTTACCCCATTTTTAGAAAAAAATATCTCGTTTAATAAGGTTGAAGTTTACATTGATTAAATTGAGGTTTATTAGGCAAAAAATTGAGATCAACCTCAAGTTGTGTAAAGAAATGATGTGATTTTCTATCCAGTCTTCTCAAAGTACCATAGTGTTTTCAGCAAAAATGACTGCAATCAACTGTTACAAAGCCTTTATTTATTTTTTCCATTATCTGTATTGTAATAAAAATAGTTGCCTGAATACACATTTTATTTATTAAAATTAAAGAATTACGAAGTAATTCTAATTAAATTACGAATTAAAATTAAGAAGAATTAAGAATTAGATTTATATCATAGGAATTGATCCGCATTTATCAGTGAGAAATATAATTTTTCGATTCCTAAAATTGACGTTTAAAATAAAGAAAACTCACTGATTGCATCAATCATTTTCACGAAAACGTAAATATTAGGGATAGAAACATTAAGGTGGTCATTTATAAATACGGATCAACTCCTATGACCTCCTTACATGAAAAATATTTTTAAAATCGTTATTTTAAATTTCATTTTTTTAAATAACTGAAATATATCTTTAGGCAATTATTTTTATTATAAATCACATCAGATCATGGAAAAACAAGAAATAAAAGCTTTGTAACAGTTGATTATAGTAATTTTTCCTGAAAACGCGGGTACTTTTAAGAGACTGGATAGAAAATCACATAATTTTTAAATACAACTTGAGGTGTATTTCAATTTTTTTTCCTAATAAACCTTATATTTAATTAATATAAACTTAAAACTTATTAAACGAGGTAGTTTTTCTAAAAGTAAGCTAACTGTAGTATAGTTGGATGATGAAGTTAGCTTAGTTTAGTCGCTCAAATGTATTCTTTAAATGGTTTTAATAAAGACAAACTTTCTTTTCAATTAAAGTAAATTTTGTCTAGTTTACAGTAAAGTAATTTTTAATTACTTAAATTAAACATTTCTGTCGCTGTCACTTCATATTCAACAAAAAACACGACTCTCTTAAAAAACACAAAACTTGAATATCATACTTTTCTGCTAATAATCGACCCATTGTTTATGTGAACTTTTTTCTAGGTCTTAAGATCTGCTATCACTCCTATCAAAATTTCCCTCTACTTACGGGTCACCCTGTATAAAGGTAGGCTGTAATATCCTTTTTTTTTACGTTGTTCTTAAAACATAAGGTTACTTGCGTGCCAATAATTGTTTAATGTATTCATGTATCTCACATTCTACATTTAAAAAAGACGTGAAACAAAGTCATAATTTCATTTTTTAAAACCTAAGAACATCGTCAGTAAGACATTGCAGATCCATTAAATTCGAATTCGTAGTATACGAACATCATTGACGCCCGAAGACACTTATCGCCCCCAGGGCAATTACGTCATGAATGCCCATCCTTCTCCCTATAAAATTTTAAAAATAATTTAGGAGGAGAAAATGAGACTCATGTAAAGAAAAAGAATATTACTTTATATTAGGGTTGTATTTCCTTTTATTTGGTACTAATTTATATTATATTATATTAATAGTTGTTTTATTAACAAGCTATCTAATTATTGATAATCCTTAACATGAGATGGGCGCGCTTCCAAGTTGGCACCACTGGGTTACGCAGCCCCAAGGTCGCATTGCACAACACAATCAAAAGTTCGTCAACTATAACTGGAAATACTAAATTTAACTGATATCATTGTACTTTATGATAAAACTTTTAGAATCCACCAGGAATTTGTTCTACTGACGAAGAGAGAATATTGTCACTTTGTTTTTTTCTGGTACCGGCGTATGTTTGACCACAAATTGTTTTGTATTCGTTCATTACCGCATATTCGCAGTCAGCCCAAAATGAAAGGCAAAATCTTGATGTAGAACTCGGTCAACCTACATAAAATATATATTTCTTTATTTCTTTATTGAGTATTACAACAATCTGTCTCTTGGTCAAACATAAAATAATTAAATATATAGAGTGAGTTGTTGAAATTGCAAACAAGTTACTATTCAAACAATTGAGAACAACGAAGGGCACAAATCAGAAAAGTTAAGGAAGACAAGAAAGAAAATTTAGATTATTATGGACCCTCATACCAGACTGTAACGACTAGAAACCGCCCGACGTTTTCGATTACTGCAGCACTTACTAGACAAACGCTCTAAACTTGCAATCAATTACAAACGACTCATATATATGACAATAATAAGACCTATTTGGACTTACGGAATTGAGCTTTGGGGCTTCACTAAACCATCGAATTCCTCTCGTATCCAGTCCTTACAATCTGAAATCCTTCGTAAAATCCTCTACACTCCTTACTTTGTCACAAATAAATTCATCTATGAAGACCTTAATTGTGTTTCCGATTTGGCCCAATCCAGATACCTATCCTTCCATAACAAACTGCAGAACCATCCGAACCCTCTCGTTTCAAACCTTGCTTTCTCCTCGATCCCTGGTAACCCTCCGAGGCGTCTGAAAGAAGGCGGAACCTTCTAATATAGAACTTTAATTTGAGTTCTACCAATGGGTAGTTTCTCTTCATGTTGTACATGTCATTTTACTAATGTCACATTTACTTGTTGTATTTTCATGTAATACAGTTGTAAATTTTATTAAAATAATAATAATAATAAAAAAGATTATTATGGGTTGAAAATATTGACGATAAAGATAATTATAATGGATTTGGCTCATTACGGCAAAGTATGGGTACATACGGTTCATGTCGAGTGATACCGAGCTGGCGATGGGGGCTAGTCTGTTGTTATTGGAGGCCTGGCAGGTGAAGACAGCGTGGAGGTGGCGCCTTTCGAGGCCGCTAACCGTCAGCACGTTCCTCACCTTCCTGTCGGATATCACCTCGTAAGAGTCATCCAAGAGGGCGTTCTCCAGCCACCAGGTCACCTTGGGGAGGGGACGACCTGTAAAAATAAATAAATACATAATATAATACATAACACAGATATAACTTACACCACTTTGAAGTTTACATGCATTAAACTTCAATGAGAACATGTGTTGGATGTTAAAAAAAAAAAAGAAATGGACTAAAATATTGAGTTGTCAGATTTATAATAAGTGTCCAACGAACGTTGTGACTGAAATAAGTCTTAGCCTGACCCGGCCCAAAATCATCGTTTTATAGTTTTCTAGTATCGCAAAAATAATCATTTAGTATTAAAATAATTCCACAACATAAAAGTTTGTGCTGTTTTATTGCAGTAGAGTGATTAAGGGGGCCCTCTGAGGGGCCTTATATTGTTATTTCGTATTTTTATGGTACCATGGTATATTTTGTCTCCAAAATAATTTCTTCATATTCGTAAAATTTCGCAACTTTTGGGAGTACATTTGATGGGTCCTCAATATAAATGTTTGGTACTTTTTATCTTCATGGAATGATGAATACTGCCATTTTGTTTTTTTCTCATACCGGTGTATGATTGCCCCCAAATTGTTTTGTATTCGTTTATTACCCCATATTTTTGGGACCCCTACGATAAGCCCCCAAAATAAATGTTTTGTATTTTTTTTGTCGCCTTAGAATGATTGGGGGCCCCCCACTGAGGTTCCCGAGTACCGTTATTTGGTATTTTTCTAGTACCGTGGTACGTTTGGCCCCCAAAATAATTGTTTCGTATTCGTTTATTGTTGGGGCTCCTTCGATAAGTCCCCAACATAAATGTTTTGTACTTTTTCATAGCCGTAGAATGATTCGAGGACCTCGTTCTGAGAGCCCTGAATATCGTTATTTTGTAGTACCGTGGTATGTCTAGCCCCCAAAATAATTATCTTGTATTCGTAAAATTACGCAATTATTTGGAGCTGATCCAATGGGGCCCCAAAGATATTACAAAACATTTATGTATGACTTATGGCAGTAGAATGATTGGGGGCCACCTCTGAGGACTCGATTACTGTTTTGTATTTATCTTGAGCCGTTGTATGTTTGGTCACAAAAATAATTGTTTTTATTCGTTTATTTTTGCGTAAACGTAAACTTGTAAACATGCAATTTTGATAATACAACAAATAATTTCAATTGCTGTTAATTGGAAGTAATCATTGCCAAATAACAAATTAATGACCTTTGTGTAATATGCTTCTCATCCAAATCCCTCTGCAAATAAGATAATGCCACATATATAAGATCCAAAACAGGTTGAAACTCGGCTTTGCAAAAAAGAGCGGAAAGTACAGAGTAAACGTTTTGTTGGAAATTAAATTAATATAATAATTGCAGAAATATGCTTACATGGACTGCTCCAGGGCAACCCAACGTTCTGTTTTTCAATGCGACAGCGGAACGGACATCGTTTTTTTTATGACATTTTTTTTTAAAGAATGACACAGTTATTTTATTATTGATACATATTTATTAGTATGTATAACCAAAAAATCAATATTCTATTAAAAAAAAAACCAATGAAAGGCCATATGAATTATAGAATACCTGGAATTCTCCGATAATAACCACACTTAAGGTTAGCATTACCCAGCAAATATATGAAATTTTTTTCCAAAATTATCTTTAACATACATTCGAGAAGGTTGATCAAGTGTAATATTAAAAGCATTTTAATTTAAGAAACATCATCTCAATCGGTTAAAAATAAATTTCAAAACTTTAATTTGTCTGTTTGTTCGCTTTCTCAACATGAAGACTTCAATAGGGATATTATTTCGTAGGTTTGGCGTGTATTTATATAATTTCTTATGTACGTTTTACCAATACTAAGCTATCTAGATTTCTTACCAGCTCACCTAGTTCAGGAAAAACGATATTACTTAAATGCTGGTTGTATTATTGATTTAGATAGATTTTTAGTTCAATGTTTTACGAATTTTGCGCCCACCCCATATAATGGAAATTTAATTGTGGTAAGTAATTTAAAAAATTCAATGACCTTTTTGTAATATGCTTCTCATACCAATCCCCCTGCAAATAAGATAATGCCACATATCTAAGATCCAAAACAGGTTGAAACTCGGCTTTGCAAAAAAGAGCGGAAATCAAAGAGTAAATGTTTTGTTGGAAATTAAATTTATATATAAGAAATGCAGGAATATGCTTACATGGACTGGCTCCATGGCAATAGAATTCAATATTCTGTTTTTCAATGCGACAGCGGAACGGACATCATTTTTTTAAAGAATGACACAGTTACTTAATAATTAATACATATTTATTAGTATGTATAACAAAAAAATCAATATTCTATTAAAAAAAAAACGAATGAAAGGCCACATAAATTATAGATGACCTGGAATTCTCCGTTAATAACTACGCTTAAGGTTGTCATTACCCAGCAAAATATATAAAATTGTTTTCCAAAATTATCTTTAACATACATCCGAGAAGGAGGATCTAGAGTTCCTTTATAGAGATTTTAATGAAATGATTGTTGCAGGGGAAGATGGATTCCCTCCTAGAATCGTCAGAATAGTATAAAGTAAATGAGGGAAGTGGAAAAGTTAGCTTTCTAAAAAGGGATGGTGCCAAGCTCGTAGTTTATTGAAGAGTAGCCCCAGAGGAGGGCCCTAGCTAAAGTGGACCTCTAGGAGCCATCTCTGGGCCAACCAATTCCAAGTCCCCCCTTACTATAATAACTGTCACCCGGAATCATTAGGGTTCATTCATGCTTACCATCATTCATAACCATCAATCTATTAAACCTTTTCCAGATACATATCCCCTTTAGGCCAAAGAATACAGAATGTACCATCGTTTAATTCCCATCCATTATTGTTCGTTGGAAGAAAAAAAAAAAAAAATTGATTGCGATTAATATTTGAACTAAAGTGTTTGAGGTAACACCATGGGGATATTGTTTGTTATATATTTAAAACATTAATCTAAATTTGATTAATATTAAACATAGCAATGAACCTCGTTGCCTGGAATCGGACTAGAAGCACGGGCGGATCTACGGGTGAGGGAGGGGGCTTTCGGGCTGAAGCCCCCCTAAAATGGTAAAATATCACCATGTTTTGTGGAAAAAAAATTTAAAAATACCTCTTAAATTATTATTGTTCGTGTAATTATATTTAAAAGGACTTTAGGAATCACCGAAACACCATTTCATATATGTAGTTAGTTTCTTCCTGTTTTTCTAAAGTAATTATCGTTATTTTTATGAAAAAAAAAGCGTTCGGGCTGAAGCCCCCCCTCCGCCAAAAATTAAATCCTGGATCCGCAAGTGACTAGAAGTATTCCTCCCAAAAATAAAGTGGTAATTTTTTCGAATCCAAAACTATTTGAAAATTAAAATTACTTTCTCAAGTTTCCACTTCCTATCTTAAGAATTATGAATACCAAATTATCACAATATTATTAGTATTTTATGAAACTATGTCAAAATGAAGAAATCGACCATTATGACTCTCACATTTTTTTTCCCTTGTGATAAAATAAAAAAAAAACTGAGGGCAGATTTATTTGGAGTAATATATTAGCTGATAGATGTGAGGTCTTAAGCTGCTCACGGGTGGGGCTAATCCCCCGGCAATCGGTATTGTATTGGACAATAGGCAACGGATTCCCGTGATTTAGTGACAGCTCCAATGCATTTGATGAAACTGATCGCCTCCAATAGTTCACTATAATATAAATCTAGGGGTATTAGTATTGTTCGTACCCTTCACCCTTTCGACACACCTCTGTCAGTAAATTTGCGTTGAACTATAGGTACCAGTTAGACTATTCTATCACGGGACATGAAGGATTGAAAGGATCTGTTTGTAGGATAAATTTACTGACCTCCGGTCGAGACGCAGGTGATGTGAATGGTGGATCCTTCGTTGTAAGGACCGAGTATGTAGTGAGGGATATGTTCTCCTTTCTCGTTCAGGACACTCAGTTGATCTGGCGGAACTAGAACAGACACATACAATTAAATAATAACACAATACTGAAAATATAGCTTAATTTTTATGAAATCAAAGAGATGTTAGGTTAGGGTTACGATCAGGAATAAAACATACGTTAGTAAGATTTACTGTGTATCGACGTTTGCCCTTCGTCAGAGTTACAAAAAAGATACTAGATTAATGGAAATGAGAAAAATAAATATAGTAACAAATAAAGAGAAAAAAATAAAATAGATTACATACAAATATGAACAAAATATAAATTAAGAATAAGAAGAAATGTGTATTTTATCTAGGGACATATAGTTTCCTAAGAATAATTATTATGAACAATAGGAGTGAAATTTGTTTGTCGTTGACACATGAACAAGGTAATTTTAACTTATTTGAATCATTTAATAATAAAGAATTGGTTAATAATAATGTTATAAAATAATTAAAGGTGGACATGACAAGAATAATAAATTTTATTATGAGTAGACGCATGCAATTCGCATAAGTGAAAAGAACAGGTATATGATGGGTATTTAAGTATATAAAAAGAATCTTTATATTTTGAAATATGTCAAGTTAATATATGATTGTAAATTTAAATTTTTTTTTAGACTTGAAAATGGCTCGACGAGCTGAAACGTCGTAATTGTGATGTATAGTCATTAAGTTGACAAAATTTAAAAATTGGTGTGAAATTGGCTGATAATAAATAAACTTGAAAATAAATGGTATGCGCCGAAAAAGAAGTGAGAAATGTTGTGAAAATTTGTCTGGTTTAAAATGACAAGAAATGATTAAAATACAGAATAATGTAAACGCAAAAATTAAAATAAAGAATAATCATAAGTAAACATATAAAATTAAAATAAATATCAGAATATTTACGTGTTTGCATTGACAATATATAAATAACCGCCAAAAAAACAGCTAAATGACACTGCCAATACTGAAATACGAAAATTAATTTTTACATATATTCGGATGATTGATAGCTGAAGAAATGGGAAAACAATCTACTCAGATTTTTGAAACATCTGGATTTTATGAAACCAAACTAAACAAACAACGCCGCATTTATTTTTTTCATATTTAATAGTTTTCCTTCGAAATTCTAGAAGACTAAGTAGTCTCGGTAAATTATTTTCCGGACTTCTAAGAACTTTGTGCGTTTCTGAATTCAGCCACAAACAAAGCAACGGCCCTCTTCCCTAGTTTATACACGATTGCTTTAACGAAAATCCATTTATGGTGACTGGGTGTGTCCTAGCGTCGATTCACAGATGATGTAACAGAATAAAGAACTGTTCCCCACAGCAGGACTGTGTCCCGTGAACGGAAGATTTAAATGTTTTAGTTCTGGTTAGGATCAAGTGCGTCTTAGCAACGATAACGGTAGCAATTATTCTCCTTTTCCTCAATAGTTTTCGTATTCGGCCAAGTAGGTTGTAAACATAAAAAAATACATCGATTCATATTATATCTGCATTGAAATAGTAATTCGATAAATTGGGAATCGATATTTTTAATCTAAAAAGGTGTGTATGTGTTCTTTTCATTTACTTATTTTTAGGTTATTTTATTCTTATTTATTGTATATATGTTATTTTTCTGTATAATTTATTTTATTTATTGTACATAGAGTGTGAATGTGATCTGTGAACACTATTATAAATGTCCTAGAGACAGATTGTAATATTTTTCAAAAAATAAGTTAATCTTTGAAAAGAGTAGGGATGTCAATATTGATCAATTATATCGATACCGATATTATCATTTATTATAAAATATATCGATGTATCAATGAAAATATCGATCAGTAAATCGTAATAAAATAATTTTCTAAAGATCTATAAAAACAGTAACATTGATTATTAAAAAGACTTATTTCTTAGAACTTTAAAACAACAAAAATAAATAAAATTGTTTAACATTAAAAAAAAATAAATTAAAATTGAATTAATAATGACTGAAAGATTTAAAAAAATTCAAGTTTTCATTAAAAATAAAATGTATTAAAATATATTAATAATGTGAAAAAATTAATAATTATATATTTCTAAAATTAATAACAATATTTCTCAGGTATTGTATAATTACATAAAATATTCTCACTTTATATAACCAGTGAGGTGGTTTTCTTTATAGACTTTATTTATTCTTACTTTTTTTTGTTTATCTTTTTTTTTTTTAAACACTAGTGTAAAAATATTGATATTTTCCAAACATACCTAGTATATGCAAGAAATTGGAAGACTGGAAATCTGCACTAATAGTAGGAGAGCGATAATCTCAAATATCACTACAGAGAAATCAAAATCAAAATAAAATATATCACTATAATTTCTAATTGATTGTATTATATACGGATCTTCGGAGGGGAACTTTCGGTGTAATTATCGTAATACATATAAAAAAAAAAGCTTTCGGGCTGAAGCTCCTACCCCTCCCCCTCCAAAAAAAAAAAAAATAAAAATTAAATCCTGGATCCACTAGTGGAAACAACAGATGATCTGGTGTTACAGCATTGCCCACTACTTAAAGCCAAAAACAGCAATAAATAGTCGAAAATGGCGAGTTTTCATGGATAGTGAGAGCTGAACTATAAGATCACGGAAGGTCTCAGTAAAATAGCATTTAATATCAGAATAAATTGGAATTATTGGAAGGCGGCCAGGACAGGGAGGTCAGGTTAACTTAGTTGGATCGTTAGAGGAAATCGGCAATTGATTTAGTACACAACTATGACCATCTAATTTGTAAGTTGGCCAGCCTGGGCTAGGTTCCGGCGATAAGAGACCGCGTCCTATAAATTATTTGACCGCAACGCCAGTGCCGTTACTGAGCGGCGTGGGCTTGTTTGTTATATCACCAATCATTGCCGGAAATCTAGACCTCCCTCTCTATTCCCTCTCCACCAATTTTGCTCATGAAAGAACTCCTCCCACTGGAACCCTAAGATTGATCTTGAATGATGCGGATGATTGATGGCACAATCACACATTGCCAGATACCCGTAATCTAAATAGTATACAGATATTCGCCAAATAGCGAAAGTATACGGAATGATCCACACAAGAGCCTCAGTCATAGGATTACTTCAATAAAATTAGTTAGAAGAATGCTATCAACAAGGTAAGAAGATATGTATAAATGAGGCAAAAGGGGAAAATTATGGAACAGATCAAACGAAGAAATTTTTATAAATTGTTAGAATGTGTTAGTAAGAAAAATAAATAAAAGCTTTTCTCGTAGTACAAAAATGTTTATTGAATTTATATATATTCCCTACTTATAAGTATAACCAAATATTTATTTTTAGATTTTAGTTTTCAATTGTCCTACAGTATTCTTTAACAATATCCCACTTATCCCAGTTGAACAAATCCGATACTTTGAACTCCACTTAGACAAACGTTTAACTTGGAATCCTCATACCAGACTGAAACGACAAGCTACCGCTCGACGTTTCCGACTACTCCAGCACTTACTAGACGAACGCTCTAAGCTCCCAGTCAATTACAAAAGACTCATATATATGACTATAATGAGGCCTATTTGGACTAATGGAGTTGAGCTATGGGGCTCCACTAAGCCATCGAATTCCTCTCGTATCCAATCCTTACAATCCTTCATAAAATCCTAACTGCCCCTTACTTTGTCACAAATAAAATCATCCATAGCGACCTTAATGTTCCTTATTCTGACCTGGCCCAATCCAGATACCTATCTTTCCATAACAAACTTCAGAACCATCCAAACCCTCTCGTTTCTAACCTTGCTTCCTCTTCGATCCCTTACAACCCTCCGACGCGTCTGAAAAGAAGATGGCCTCGAGATCTCCTTTTTTAAATACATTTTTAGAGTGCTACCAGTGGATAGTTTCTCAACAAGTGGTTTCATGTTAATATATTCTTTTTTTTACATTTACTGAATGTATCTTTATTTGTAATACAGTTGTAAATATCATCAATAAAAAAAAAAAAAATTCAATTGTTTTATTACTAAACAGAGAATGGGGTGTCTCAGCAAGAAAGTCAGCAGATCTTCAACTTCCGGGATGGGTTTAAGTACGCAAGTACTACTTGGCATGTAATTTTTTTTTTTGGGGAGGGCATTTTATATATACATTAGTTACATCGAGAGACCATCATAAGGCTCACTCAGTCTATATAGAGTAGGTTCACGAACTGAGGTGGGGTAGAACTCTGAGAGTTAAGTGTAAATACTACAGTACCTCCTTGTAAAATTGTTTTAAACAGATTTCATTTGTATTATGTTGTCAAGAAATTAATGCAGATTGATGGATTTAAAATAAAATAAATAATCCGTCAAAATTATATTATTACAGTAAGGCTCGAAATCGGAGTTTTGTACCAAAATAAGCTCCTGTCATGCTCAAATACCACGAATGGGGTACCGTTGGTTTCAGATTTTCAGGGGGGTTAGCGAATCGTATTCTGTACTTTTTGTTTTTCTTTCTAAATAAATAAAGTCGATACAAACATTTTGCTAGGCTTCGATACTGGACGGTGGTAGGTCTGTTAGATCGATAAGGGACCATAATTAAGATCTTAGAGATTTTTAGATACGTACAGCAAGACCAGGATAGTTCCTCCGGAACTTTCGGATTCCTGCGTTTTTAGTCGAAAAACGTACTATTTTCGAGGATAACGCAAGGCATAGGGTTCGCATCCAACAACCTTACATTAATTTGTAGTACTGTCATTGAATACATGTCTCATTTCGTTGTCTTGAGGTACTCTATGATCGAGAGAGGGGGGATTTATATTATTCATCGATGGTGTTTTGATCGGCAAGCCATCGTAATTTTTCACCAAATCTCAAGTTGAGCACCATTTTCGAAGGCTTCTCTTCTCTTCAGGATGGCAAAATAGTCCAATCACAGGAAAATTCAGGCATACAACTTATTCGAGAAATAAAACTTTTTTTGCGATTAACTGAAAATTACACCCTTGGGTTATGCCATTATTATATAAAACATTACTAACT